CAAATGTCTGGCTCACTGCTGCCAACTAGTGGTCAGAGGCTGAACTACAACATAAAAATGAACGGCTGGCAGGAAAGTTGACATTTTAAACCTTACTTAAAAAATCGATACAGGGCTTTAGAATATCGATACAGTATTGGGAAATGAAATATTGTGATATTTCAGTGTATCGATATTTTCTTACACCCCTACCCACTGAGTGCAATGTTCTTCACATAGGTGAGTTTGAAATACACACATTATTGATGAATGAATGAATGTATCTCATTATTACAGTAAAACTGATCCATTTATGTTTTCATTATTTTACAGAAAATGGTGTGAAGGACAGATAACCAACCCCTCACTTGACCTTAAAACCCCCTGGATACAACTTTATTCCCCACCTTAGAACCCATGCGAAGACTAACCACAGTGACCTTATGCCCAATACTAAAAAAACACTATTAGACCATTTGCACAGTTGGACTTTGAGTTCATGTCAGCCATCCTTCAATCCAAAGGACAGCATCACTGCTCCCACTGAGTGCAATGTTCTTCACATAGGTGTTTATTTTTCTGTATTTGGCCCTCACTAAAAAAAAGTTTGGACACCCCTGGTTTTGAATGTGTCAGAGATTTTCAGCCACAGCTCCTTTAAAATTCACAAACTCAAAGGCATTAATATGTTTTTAAATTAGATTTTCACAAATCTTACATACACACAGAAAGCTTGTGTCCCTTTTATTTTATTTTATTTTATTTTATTTTTTGTGCGGTTAGAATAAATTCATTATTTTGCAAGTACGTGGAAAATAATTTTGGCCATCGTCCCCTCCAGCCTCTGCCCTCCACATGCTCACGATCTGCAATGAATACATTTTAATAAGCGTGATAAATAAAACATGTGTGGAAAAGAGGTCACAGATAACATGTAAATGCGCTGTGACTCAACAGACCTTCGCACCCAAAAACGTCTTGTCCTCCATCTGATGAGAGCTCTCAGAATTTAGCTCAACTAATCAGCATCTGAGGTAGAGGAGGGGAGAAAAATAAACACTGAGCAGGCCAGAATTGAATTTTCATCCCGTAATCTTCTTCAGGGACTAAAAATCTCTTTAGAGTTGTTGGAGTTGAGCGGGGCTGCCTCTGGGTGCTTAAACATGAACCTTAACTCCCAGTTACTCTCTGGGCGACCCCGTTTTGAGAGTACACAGCGTTTTGGTTACAGCTGGCCTGACCAGAGTCCAGCCAGTGGCCTTACGTAACCCATCAGGCGGCGTAAACATTTCGAGGCTCTCGTTTAGCTGAGGTATAAAATCCTCTTCCCTCGCCGTCCCGCTGGGATAAAAATAGCCCGTTTGAATTGATTTATGCTACGAAGCGATGCGCTTGTTAACAGATTAAAAGTGCGACGAGGGGCCGGGGTAATATGTCGTACGAGATGAAGTGCGTGTCCGCACGGGGAGGATGATGCGGTGAAACAGCCTATAAATCAGAGCCCAGAAACATCTCCAATCTGGGTGTAATCTGGGTGACCCAGGCAGAAACGGCAATCAGGTCAAATCAAAGCCAAGGCAGATTTGGACGTAGTCTTCTTATCATGCATAATACATCAGCAAACGCATGAATAAACACACACACTGTCCCTATTGTGCTCCCTCACACACACACACACACACACGCTCAGTGACACATGCAGGGAGTTTGGGATGCTCGGCCACAGATGTATTTAAATGGACTGCTGTTTTGACTCTGCAAGGTCCTAAGCACTCCTGTCCACATGTACCCCACTGCAGTATGCCCAGCAGCCAGCCTGACTGACATACTGCACCGATCACCACTCAGGAAAGGTAACAGCCCCCCTTCTTGTCCTCGCAAAGTCCTCCTCCGCAGCCCAAATGAAGCTGCGGACACAGAGGCTGCTAGATGCACGACAAAGACCAGAGGCTCGCTTAAACAGAACTGCTAAACCTTTAAATCCAGAGCATGTCCCTGACAGCTGCTACGCGCAGATCATAACCACATCAACATACTAAAGTCCTGTTTTCAAACAGCTGCTTTATTCAACATCAGAGCATCTCTCACGGTCTGATGTGAACACAAGAGTCCAACTTTCACCCTGTAAGCGCAGGCAAACTTTACAGAGTGCATCACAGAACAGGCAAAATGAACCAAAACATCCCCATTTCTTATGAACACACAGTAAGAAGCAGAGCAAATAATTACGTTTGGATTCCTTCACAGTTTTCAAAGCGGACTGTAGTCTCTCCAGCATGGCTCTCTGATTAGCATGCGTGACAAAACAAAAAAACAAACAAAAAAACAGAGCAATTAAAGAAAAAAAATCTTGTATTCCAGGTGCAGCAGCTCCGCAGGGTTGAGATTTAAAAGCAGCAGTCAACAGGAGCTAAAAACACAGGTGGGTTGTCCCCTCTGKTGCTCTGCAGCGAGGGAAAAACGCTCAGTGTAGCATTTCTGTAGAGTATTCAGAGGGTGATGGAGAGAGCAGGAGGTAAGAGGGAGTGAGGCAGACAGGGGAGGGGAGAGAGGGAGAGTTTTTAATCTTTCTGAAAAACCAGACCGGACGCTTTTACTGCAGAGTGGAAAGGGTGAGAGACAGAGAGTGGGTGGCAGCRAACGGGACGAGGGAGGCAGAGAGGGAGCCAAAGGGGCGAAGATAGAAAACGAAAAGGAGACTACTTTCTGTGACAAGACAAGGGAGGGGAGGGCAAAGATATGATGGAGATGGAGCTTTGGAAGAAACACAGTCTGCAGGAAGAAAGAAAAAAAGCCACACCTACAACCTTTAGCCTCACCATGAAAACACAAACACAAGCTCGTCTCAGGACGCAAAACCTATGTAACTGCATCCTGTGGCAGCCAATACAAGAAAAGAGGAGGGGGACAGGGCTCAGGGGTTCACCTGCTACACCAATAATAAAGACTGCTCTGAGAGGAGATAAGGGCCAATCACCACCCATATGGAACATAAAGAACATAAACAAGTTCTGTCGAGGAGGAAGCTGGAACATAAACTGAGTCGTGGAGGGGGGGTATGCAAAATACTTTATTGAGTTAAATCATGTTATAATGTCATTCCCATCTAAAACATACCCAGAGTGTTGTTTTGACTCATTCATGCATGTTTTTAGAAATCCTTAATTCTCCTGTTAGAGCTGCCTAAACGCTTTCTGGTACAAAGCTCCGCCTATTTGTAGCATTTTCCTGCATATAAATAATCATTTCTGATTAGATTTYACTTGTTTCTATGACAACCACTTAGGAAGGAAGAAAATCCCACTTAAACTTCAGACTATTTCTAAAGAYTTTTGCATGGAACTTCCTTTGTGGCTCGAATTAACATCTCTTACACAAACCCCCACCAGACTTCCTGACGCCTTACTGTTAATAGATAAGAATTGCCACATTCCTGTTCTGAACCCCCACAAGTTCTGAGCTTCCATCCCCCATAAGCACAGGACTGTTGGTTCCTCTTCAAAGGGACCATAAGTGCCTTTAACCAGACTCTTCAGTGACTGAGACTAAGGACCTACATTCTTCATTAAATGTGAAAAAAAGAGAATAAGATTGAATGTTTTTATACAACTGTCTGTTTTCATATATCTTAATCAAAGAAATGTGATTTACCTGTTTCTTTTTTACAGAAAGATCAAAACCCATTGAAGCTCTACTGTGTTCTCTTTTTAACTGTTTGCCCACTAAGGACTCAGTGTGGTAACTGTGTATTGTGTTTAATTGTTTTGATGAAATGTTTTCCTGAAGAAGGTGTGTGTTTTATTCCATGATTTAATCCTTAGAAACTTTAGGACTTGAATCTTTAATAATTAAGTGTGACACTCTTATTTTACTGAGGCAAACAGATATCTCTCCCTTTTAATTAGATGCAAGATAATTAAACTAAAACACTCCCCTTTTCTTTGTCCTGAAGTAAAGTTTTCCCTCCAAAACAGATTTGATTTGTTAAAAAAAACTTTTCCTGTATAAGGTGTAACATTTTTTTTGCCAACTAAAACCTTGACTCCGCCCATAACAGAGGTTTTAAAAAGCTTAGCGCACTCCCAATCTCATCTCTAAGAAGACAGAGAAGAAGAAGCAGAAGAAGACTGACAGAGAGTTTTTGAGAGAAAGAGAGTTTTTCAACATCAGAAGCCAGAAACAGCTTTCCAGAAGCTCAGCAGAGGCCCTGCCTGCCAGTCCCTCCCCATGGGCTGGGCAGGATGGAGGCCACTCTGCATCTCCCGCTGGGTTGAACAAACAGCACCGTTTAATTTCGACTCTACATCTGAGTTTGATTTTATAGAAGTTAAATAAGCTAATTGTAATTCATGCGTCGTTTTTAGTTTGTTTTCTCTACAACGTTGAAATCAAATTAAGAAGTCTTGCAACCGCCTGGGGAGGACCAGACCATGTTGTCACCAGGGAGTGACCCCCTTCTCTGACCAAGGGACCAGTTGAGTTTTACAGGCAGATCGCCTGACATCCAGCTTGCATGAAGAATCTACCAGGGAGACGACCCCCAGAGATGACCTTCAACCACTGACTTCCCCTCCTGGTACCCACATGGCGGAACAAAAGGGTAAAAGTGAACATTTGTCCTGGTGACAAACAGGTGCTCAGACGTAATTTGATTCTTATCTTTGTATGAGATTTGGTAAACTAAACGTTTTTCTCCCTAATTTAACTAGGACCCCCTTAGTTAAATCCTCAGCTATCCTGAGCAAATAGTTAACCAGTTTAAAAACATTTCTCAATGTACAGTTGCAAGGAATTTAGGGATTTCATCATTTACTGTCCATAATATCATCAAAAGATTCAGAGAATCTGGACCACAGAGTCTTGCCTATCCTGTTCACTGTTAATGTCTGTTAGCAACATGGAGGAGCAAAAATGGCGACCATTAGGGACTTCGGCTCACAGCGTCATAGCAACTAACAGCAAGCCCAACTGGATCTGTCATAAATTATTTCTAAAATTTTAACAGTAAATTCATATAATTGCAAATTATGTTAATTGTATGCAAAAATAATATAAAACAGCTAGATGTATACAAGAAAAATATACAGTATATGTAACAGTGATCTAAACTAGACCTTAAGTTAGACAATAACTTGGACTTTTTAGGTACTTAAAAAATTAAGAATTCAAATAGTAATAAAGTATATTTACTATTTTTCACTGTCATAAATAATACGTTTTTACAAGTCAACACTTAAAAACTGTTCACTGCATACCTGGTTACACCTTAGGATGAAACTTGTCTTTATATATAAGCTAACCATCTTCTCAACAGGTCAGGTAAAATAATAAAATAACATAATATTGTTTTTCACTGTGTAAGCATTACATAAATTAGAAGCAAAACCAGCTTGTGATATTTAATCATTTGTGCTAATTTATAGCATAATTCGTCAGAGTGTAACACTCTGTGTAGCAATGTTACAGAAGATAATATCTGCTAAGCAGTTCAATAATTCATAATGAGTAGCCTACATTGGCTTTTAGCCATTTTAAAATTTAAATTTAATTTCATTATTAGGTTTAATTCTTGTCAAATCACATCCACATTGAGGTCAATAAGATAAAATCTGCTTACTTGTGAAATGAGACATGTTTTCCTGTTTCTCTTTCTGGCATTWTTATAAACATTATCTACACTCTTAAAAATTAATAATTGTTATTATTAATAGTTTTTATGATTTCTACATCATCAGTCCATTTTTTTGTAATGTTGCCAACATGTAGAGTAATGATAAATTGAGACACTTGCCCATTTTGCTTAGAGCCGCAGATGCTACAGTAGATCACACGGTCACGTGATTAAAACTCACTCCACCTGTTATATGTAGGATCTGGACAAATCTCTGCAAGTAGGCGACAGAACTTAAAACCAACAATGAATGCTTCTGATTTTTTGATCCCTCAGCTGGCAATGCTTAAAACACCAACGGATATTAGCACATGAGCTCAGGAACACTTCAGAAAACCACTGTCAGTGAACACAGTTCATCTCTACATCTACAAGTTAAAACTTTACCATGCAAAGACAAAGTCATATATCAACACCCAGAAACCCCACCAGCTTCTCTGGGCCTGGGCTCATCTGAGATGGACTGACACAAAGTGGAAAAGTGTCCTGTGGTCTAACGAGTCCACATTTTAAATTATTTGTGGAAATCATGAACTGTCCTCCAGGCCAACGAGGAAAAGGACTGTTTGGATTGTTATCAGAGCAAAGTTCAAAAGACAGCCTCTCTGATGGTATGGGGGTGTTTTAGTGCCCATGGCATGGGTAACAGTCACGTGACGGCTCCATTAATACTGACAGGTACAAACAGGTTTTAGAGCAACATATGCTGGCTTCCTAGAAATGACTTTTTCAGGGACGTCCTGCTTATTTCAGCAAGACAATGAAGTCACATTCTGCACGTCAAACCGCTTCATAGTAAAACAGTGTGGGTACTAGACTGGCCTGTCTGCTGTCCAGACCTGTCTCCCATTGAAAATGTGTGGAGCTTTATGAAGAACAAAATGCAATAACAGAGACCCCAGACTGTTGAGCAACTGAAGTTGTTCATCAAGCAAGAATGAAAGAATTCACCTACAAAGCTTCAACAGTTAGTGTCCTCGGTTCACAAACACTTCATCACACAGTCATCTGTCATGACCACCCCAAAGCCACCAACAACACATTTAAAATGGCTTGATGAATTAAAAAAATATATATAGACAACAAAAAATATGGAGCTGCAGTAACGTGGCGGCCAGTGCTGTGGTTTTGTAATCATGAGACTGCAGGTTCGAACCCAGGCTGCGTCAGGAAAGGCATCCGGCATAAAACAGTAGCCTAATCTGTCATACTAGTTCACTCACTGTGGCAACCAATGAAGAAGGGTGAAGCCAAAAGAGAAAAAACAACAGACACTAAAATAATACTAATAATACATAGGCCACAATGACTTATTCTGAAAAAAAAAAAAACATTGACCTACAGGGTTTCAGACATAGAGCTCTTTAGTGATAAAACTGTTGGTATCTTGCCAGGAGCTACTGCAAAGTGACTTATCATTTGTCATATCTGGAGAAGTTGTGCCAACAAGTTTGCGAAGTTGTACAAACCAACTTAACTGTAAAAATCTCCAGACAGAAGCCAACAAGTTAATACACACGAGTAGTTCATTTGAATTTAGCTAAAAGAAGTTGCAATTCTTGTTAGCTAGCCAAAAGTGCTGTTCTTAATGAACCAGTCTGAAAGAGGGAGATGCCAAAACGAAAGCATAAGTTACAAAAAATGGCAGCTGATGCATCATGATTCATCCAGTGGCAAGTGGCCAGTTAGAGCACTTTTACTGTATAATTATCTAATGGTATCTCTGTTCACAAGGGCATCCAAATAAAACTCATTTCAGCGGGCAGGGAACCAAACGCTTACGAGTAAAAGGTTGTAAAAAGTTCTGCCGGTGKGAAAAATAATTTCATAGTGTGTTTTTTTTAAGCTGCAGGTGATGGTAATAGCTCCCACCTTTGCCGTTCTTCACTTCCTGAGACGCAATGACGAACCCAAAGCCTTCTCCCGGCTTTCTCTTCAGCTCCACCTCAAACCCTTTGAAGTGTCGGGTCCGGTCCCCTCTCGTTACCTCCGGACCTGCGTTAGGCACCGACGCACCGCCAGCCTCGTCCTCCAGACCGATATCAATCCAGTCTTTGGGCTCCATGGTCAGGGTCACTGGAACCGACTCCAAGAAACTGGTGCTCTGGATCAGCGAGGAGCTCACGGGCAGCGGAGAGGGAGGCGTGTCCGTGGAGGTCCGGGGCCGGGGAAGCACTTCTGGGACCACAGAGGAGCTGTCCGAGCCAACGGGAGGAGGTGGGGGGCGCAGGAGCGGTGGAGGGAGTCTCCGAAAGGAGGCGGGAGAGACTGAATGATAATTGCCTGAAAAGAAAAAGAAAAAAATTATAAATCTAATTGGGGTGATCATTTAAAGTTAAATTAGTAAAAATCCCCGGGCTGGAAGACGATTATTTACCTCCTCTGTAAACCAGAAGGATCACTTCTCCCTGTTTGGTGTGCTCCTGCAGAACTGCTTTTATCTTTAAGGAAACAGGCAAGAATATTTTCTTATTAATCTGATTAACTCTTTCTTTATAAATATACTTAAAATAAATGTTGAAACTAAATATTTATTATTAAGGCAGTGTTTTAATGGTTTGATAGTGAACTGTATTTATTTCAGGCTGCTCCTCTCTTACCTGTGCATGGCTCAGACTCTGAACATCTGCTCCGTTGATTTTGACAACAGCATCCCCTGGCTGCAGGGAGTTGCACTGCTTCCTGTCCCAGACTCTCTCCACTACAGTCACGTTGCCCCCGGGGCCCCCAGCCATCAGGCTGAAGCCGAGGCCTCTGCCTTCCTCCGTCTGTGCTAAGGCCACTGGGACCAGCTCCCCGCCGCTGAAACTCCCGAACCCRCTGCCCACGCTCATCGCCCCAGGCGAGGACAAGCTGCTGGGGCTGGCGGTTGGGCTGGTGCTGCCATGGAAGCCGTTAAACGCGCGGTGGTGGGGGCTGTCGGAGGTGGAGGGAGGTCTGAGGTGGGAGGCGTGGGGTCCGAAGAGGTGAGATTGGGCGCTGCGGGGGCCGCTGGGGGAAGAGGAAGGCCTCTGTGGTGACTCAGGCAGTGGGAGGCGAGACCCCAGGACGGTACACGTGGACAGGTCACTTTCGGACGACTTTGAAGTTCCGTAGCGTAAAAGATGTGGTGGTGTTGAAAGAGAGTTGTTGTTGTGGTTGCGTATCATCGACGCCCTGATGAGAAAGAACCGGGGGGGGGGGGGGGGTTCAGTTACAACATAAAAAAACTCTTTGCACTTTATTAGATTGATCTTTATCTACAGGGTGTGGACCCTGGTTCGTGTCACCTGTGTGAACCGATGGCAGAAACAACCTCACTGTCACTCTGRCTGGCCAGCGTCGGCTCAAGTGACTGCAGCCTGGCCAAGCTTTTCAGGAACCGAGGCGGGAGGATGGGGGAGGACATGGTGGCGTTGCTCACACTGGAGCGTCGGTACGGCGGAGGCGGCCTGGAGGCGAAAGACGTGGCGTTTCCGTTGGCGTCCAGAGTCACGCCTGGCTGCATGTAGCCCGCGTCGCCGTGGAGCCCGTTAAAGTGCTGGGTCTGGGGTGTGGCTGCTGGCAGGCGAGGTAGCTGATGCAGAGACTGAGGCTGGGTGGTGGTGGGCGGCAGAGCATGCTCCTCGCTGTCCAGTAACCTGGGCGAGGGCTGCTTAAGACGACCGTCGGGGTTGAAGAGCATGGGGTACCCCCGTCTGACCTCTATATCCACGCCGCGGCCCACGGGGACAGATTTGAGCATCTCTACAGCCTCTTTGTGAGACACCCCCAACATGCAGACATCATCGATGTACACCAGGATGTCCGCTAAAACAAAAATAGAAACAGAATAGATTAGAAACAGCTTTTATTGTCCCATGTGGGGAAATTTGCATGTAATAACAGCAGCAGATACATACATACGTACGTACATACGTACATACGTACATACATACGTACATACGTACGTACGTACATACGTACATACGTACATACGTACATACGTACATACGTACATACGTACATACGTACATACGTACATA